AATTAGATTAGTAATGGCTAAAATCCAAAGCTTTCTGGTTGCAAGATACTTGTCAGCTCTTTCTGGTAAGGGCCCACCAATTCACTGAAACATCAATAAAAATAACCAACTGGGCTTTGTTTGTTACAGTGTAAATTGGCACAACTGACCCCAAACTTAAAAATTTCTTGTCTCTTTGTTTGATTTTCATTTAAGGGCTTTGAGTTACAATGATACAGATTTGAAAAAAATATGTACATATATTTGAACAAATTGATGAAGGATGGCAACTCGTGCTGTTTAGCCATTTGCAGAGAGAGATACTCTAAGATTCAAAATGACAAAATTTTCATTAAGGTTACCATGTAAATTCTTTTTTCTTAATAATAGATGTTATGTCCTTACTGTTTTAAAGGTTGGAGTCACAACAATTTTAGGTTTATGTAAAGAGAGATAATGTCACACTGCTCTGAAAACTGCCTTATCCTTTTAAATGTGAGATATTTTCACAGGGGAAAAATGTTGGTCATGCCTGTGTAAAAAAGACACAAGAGGCTTAAAGATGAAAAAGTACATGACAACCCAGTTTAGTCCTAAAAACTCAAAAATTATATTCATATGTTTAAGGGATCTCAGGTTGCAAGTCTAGGGGATTTCAGGTCTAGGGGATCTCAGGTCTAACCTCAGGTCTAGGGAATCTGGGGTCTAGGGCATTTGACTACAGGCACCTCTACTCATGCATACGCACATCATTAAAAGTAAAAACAACACAACAAATATTAAGAGTTTTTAAAAAAAATAATAAAGTCCTGTGATTCTGTTGCTGCCCTTTGGATCCCTTTCCCCTAACTGGGTTGCCATGTCTAGCCTCAATAGGAGAAGATGCACCTAGTCCTGCTGCAACTTGATATACCAAGGCGGGTTGATATCCGTGGGAGACATCCCCTACTCTGAGGAGAAAAAGAGGAGGAATGGAGAGAGGGGAGGTGTGAGGGAGGAACTCGGAGGAGAGGAAGAAAGGAAAGCACTGATTGGGATGTAAAGTAAATAAATAAATCAATTAATGGAAGGGAAAAAGAAAGAATGCATACCTGAAAAGGTGAAAGAAAAAGTAGAGTTGTGTGTTGCGATCCAGCCAAGTAACACTCTTTCCCTGAGACAAGTCCCATGCTCATTGGGTATTGCCACTGACAGCTCTCTTTCCACACTTTCTCCCCCACCACAGCTCTACGACATGTTCCATTCAGTGATGAGGTACCTGCCAGGACCACAGCAACAGATCATCAAGTACACGCAGGAACTGGAAGATTTCATGATAAGGAAAGTGAAGCAGAAACAGAGTACCCTGGACCTCAATTCCCCACGGAACTTCATTGACTCCTTTCTCATCCACATGCAGGAGGTGATCCGAGCACTGGGGATGGAGGTCTACAACCAGGGAGCTGGGAATCACTTTAGAAAAGAAGGAAGAGCCCATCCAGCCCTGGGATGGGCCTCACAGTCCAGCCATGGCTAACCACACTGGTTAGCTATTGAGCTGTAGAGCCCTCTCCATGGGGACTGTTGGCTCCTGACCCCGGAGGACAAAGGGAGCAGATGTGATGAATGGGGAAGGGGAAGAGGGAGGAGAAGGGTTTAGACAGTGAGTACAACAGAATAGCTTTCTGAGACCAGTCTTAGCAAGATTGCTCAACTTTATTCAAGGTGAACAAAGGCTACATAGTTCTTGGGGAATGGGTGGAGGGTTCCCAGGGTAGATGCACACCATTGGCGGGAGGTTGAAGTGCCAGGAATGCTTTATTTGCATTTGGCAGCACAGTCCTATCATATGAACAGGAACACAGTACCTAGTTATCCTGTGGGCAAGCAGGGGAAACTGCCAAAGGCCAGGATCCAGATATGGTTAGAGGCGTCTGTCCCTACAGATACTCCAGATGAGGTCAGGCAGAGACAAAGAAGCCCCTGCTGAGAAAGGGAGTCGTCCACTCTGCACCAAGCTGGGGAGAGGTGTCCAGACATGATGGACTGCAACAACAAGAAGCAGAGTCTTCCAACATTGTGCCTTATCCAAGCCAGGACATGGGCAAGCAAATCATCATGCCAACCGATATTCCAGCATTCCCCTGTCAGACACTGTCCTCAGTACATTCTGCTAGACACCTGTTTAGCACCCCTTGAAGCTACTGAAGAAGTTTCTGTGGAGACTAAATCTCACAAATGAGGAGACTTTGCGCAGAGTTTCTAAGTGACCAGCCTGACATCATGTAGCGAGGAAACTGAACACACCCCACACATACGGGTTGACTCTGAGGCTTTTGCTATTAGCCACCACGTTCTCCAGCATTTCACATCCCAGTTATGAAATGCACATAGATATATATGAGTGGTGCGGGCAACATGAGTTTATTACGTGGCATAAACGTGCTCCACAGCAGCCGTGTGCGTTGGCACATTCCTGTAATTCCAGCACTTGAGGAGGCAGAGTCAGGCAGATCTCTGTGAGTTCGAGGCCAGCCTGGTCTACAAAGTGAGTCTAGGGCAGCAGGGCTACACAGAGAGACCCTGTCTCAAAAAAACAAACCAAAAAAACAACAACAGCAATAGAAGAGTGCTTCACATCTGGAAGAAAGGACTTGGAATTCTGTAGAGCTTGAAGATCTATAGACCCCTCATGTTCTAACTGTTCCAACCATGAAGAGTGACATCAGAATGATAGCTAAAGGACAGACAGTTGACACGACAGAGAAACAAGCAAAACTCATGCAAACCCAAGACTCCGCACACGACTTGGAGATTAGGCTTTCCACCTTTGGTCTGGACCCTTTGAGAGCTGGGTCCAAAGAAAACTCCAGAAGTGGTGGCCATGGGGTCCCCTTTCTCCCTGAGGAACTTAATCTGCAGTTAACAGCTGAGAGGAAAGAGGAAATTCTATTCCTTAGTGGTGGGGCTACCAGTAAATTTCTCTTTCTCAAGTAAAAAACAAAAACAAACAAAACCAAAACCAAACCAAACAAAACTGTATTCACCTGTACTCATGCAGCCAACCCTACTTACAAGCAGTTGGCCACACAAATAAGAGGTCATAATTGGAGGAGGGCTCACGAGAAATAAGAAAGGGTTCAGTGGAGGACAAAAGGGAAAAGGGAACTTAACAGGGGAATAAGTTCAAAGTACATATCACATATATGTCTAAAAAATGAGGACCCAAGGTTCAGTGGGTGTGGAAAGGGATTCATCTGGGAGGGTTTGGGAAAGGGTGTGAATGTGCTCACAATACAATAAAAGAAATCCTCAAAGAATTAATAACATATTTATAAAAGAATGACTAAAGGTTTTTAGAAAATTAAAACCTTAACATCCCCAAGGGGGTGATCACCTGATGAATGGATTTGTGTTCCTTATCTCTGTAGCAGAAGAAGGACCTCAGTTCAGAGTTTCACATGAAGAACCTGGTGATGACATCACTAAGCCTGTTCTTTGCCGGGTCTGAGACTGTCAGCTCCACGCTGCGCTATGGCTTCCTGCTGCTCATGAAGCACCCAGATGTGGAGGGTGAGGCTGGTGTGGGGCAGGGAAAGTTGGGAACCCCAGATGTTCCAACCTCTTCCAAGTTGACCACAATGACTCCTACCTCTCTCAGGTCCCTGAATGCTCAGACATGCCCTCCTATGCGAAGACAGGGGCATCTTAAATGCATAAACAGAATTCTCACTAGCAATTAAAATATGATACATCTCTGCACTGATTTCCCACTGGCTGCCAGATTCCTTCTCTCTGGTCCATGCCCCGACACTCTTCCCTCCCCCACCATGGTTCTGTAGTGAAAAGGATAGAGAGGTATGGAGATATGTTTCAAATGGACTATATGCATGCCATTTACAGAGACATGCAGTACATACAGTTTTACACATTTAAACTATTGCACCTGCTCTGAGGCCCCTGGGCTCTTAAACACATCCCCTCTCCCCTTGTACTCCAGCCAAGGTCCATGAGGAGATTGAGCGGGTGATTGGCAGGAACCGACAGCCCCAGTATGAGGACCGCCTGAAGATGCCCTACACCGAGGCTGTGATCAACGAGATCCAGAGATTTTCTAACTTTGCTCCCTTGGGCATTCCTCGAAGGATTACCAAGAACACCACATTCCGTGGCTTCTTCCTCCCCAAGGTGCAGCCGTACCCTCCAGTCCTCTTCCTGGGTCTCAGTGCCCCTTTCCAGCTATCGCTGTACAACCCACTCTGATTCCTCCAATCAAAGATTTCCTCGACTACCACCTCAGTCTCGCCAGGACCCTCTGAGTAGATCACTGTCACCTTTCCTAGACTTGGTGGCTCGGGAAATTCATCCCCCACTTCTTGTCTCACTGCTGGAACCCCAAGTTCTACCTGCTCTTCTGCCTTGATAGCCTCCAGTCCCTCAACCCCTGTGCTGGAGGCACAGATCGTGAGTCACTCTGACAGCCTGCCTCAGGGCATGAACCCCCTTGATCTCAGTTTCCTACCACAGGCGACACATATCTTATCCCCTCAAAACTGAAATTCCCTAATGCCCCTCTCTCAGGGACCCCCAACACTGCACCTTCCAGTTCTCCTCACCTGGCGCCTTTGCACTTCTGGGAGGTGCTATCTCCATCACTCTACTTCTCGAATCTCCTTCCTTCTTTCTTTCAGGGCACTGAAGTGTTCCCTATACTAGGTTCTCTGATGACAGACCCAGAGTTCTTCCCTGGTCCCAAAGATTTCAACCCCCAGCACTTCCTGGATGACAAGGGGCAGCTGAAGAAGAACGCTGCTTTTCTGCCCTTTTCCACAGGTAAGGAAACACTGGGTCACTAGTGCTCACACCAAAGGAAACTCATGTCAGCTCCCCTCACTGTGATACAGCCTAGCATCATTCTCCTGCACCAAGTCCTTTTGGAACCTAACTTCCAGCCAACCATGTGCAACCCCTGTACCTACCAAGCACAAGCGTCCGGACACAGGTCAAAGTATCAATGGGATCAAGGATAACTTTCAGAGATGGGGAAAAAGCAAAGCACAGACTGAGTCTGCCAGCTTCCCCAGGTCATGCTCATACAAGCAATTCTTCAGACTCTTGGAAAAAGGGGACAACATCCAGGTGGTGATGGTTCATGCCTTTAATCTCAGCAGAAGCAGGTGGATCTCTGAGTTCAAAGCCACCCTTGTCGACAAAGTGGGTCTAGGACAGCCAGGGCTACACAGAGAAACCCTGCCTGAAAAAAAATAGAATACACAGACAGACAGACACATACAAACGTACGTACATACATACATACATACATACATACATACATACATACATGAGGGAACAGCCAAGCATCCACATTTGAGAGTATAATTGGTTCAGGAAGCACCTGGACTTCCCATTTCACCGACCAACATCCTGTATAGGGAAACTGGGAAGGGCGAGGTTAAAATCTTCCGTGTTCATTTTTTATGCTCCAGTGCTGCAGCCCCTTCTCCCTAAGAGAATGCAGCTGCGCACCAGGTACTGAGGTGTGGTGGCAGTGAGAACCGCCTCCACTTTTGAGCTCCTTCTCTCTCTCCTCTTCAGGAAAGCAGATCTGTTTGGGAGATGGCCTGGCTAAGATGGAGCTCTTCCTCTTCCTCACCACCATCTTGCAGAACTTCCGTTTCAAGTTCCCAAAGAGGCTTCAAGACATTGATGAATCTCCTAAACCCTTGGGATTTACGAGGATCATACCAAAATACACCATGAGCTTCCTCCCCATCTGATTCTGGGTTGAAGCAAGGTGGGGCAAGAGGAAGGGGGACACTGGAGAAGAGCCAGAGCGAAGGGAGAAAGGGAAAACTGCACATTAAGAACAGATCACATGCAGAGAAGAGGCAGAAAAGACTACTCACTTTGCTAAAATCGTGACGGTAATAAAAAAAAAAAAACCTGCAGTGGGCAGTGGTAATAGCAGCTGTCACTCACTGAGCAAGGGTTGGGTTGTTTGTCAGCTCTTGGAATGTTGCCCCATCACCCATGATTCAGTACTTTAAACAAGAGCAGTCCCAAGCCCAGTGTGTACATCACAAAGGAGGAGCTTAGAAATCTGAGTCTAAGCTGAGGTTTAAAAGACTCAGGTTAGCTCAGCTCGGGGCACTGGGACTTTATCCTCAGCATTCAGGAGGGAGAGGAAGGTGAGTCTCTAGGAGGCCAGCCAAAATTATATACCTTGTCTCAAAAAAGCACTATGCCAACCAGAAGGGACATAGTTTAAATTGATTTCTCACAGACCGTAAGAGTCCAGCAGGTACTTAAACACAGATCTGTAGCCACAGTCTTTTGGTCAGGTTTTTGTTATAGTTGTTTTGTTTTGTTGTTTATTTTTGTCTTGTACATCTGTCTGTCTGTTTGGGGTATTTTACTTACATTTATTTATGAGTGTGGGTAGTAGAACATGCCAGGGCTCACGTTTGGAGACCAAAGGACACCTTTTTGAAGTATTTTCTCTTCTTACAATATGTGGGTCTCAGGACTCGAACTCGGGTTGTCAGTCTTGACAGCATGCACTTTTACCTACTGAGCCATCTAACTGGCCCATGTGGGCAATTTCTTAATGTCATCCTTTCCTCAACTGAAATATCAGGGACTTGGGATATTATAGCACATCCTGAATAATCCCGTCTGAGGTGTTTTATTCCCACAGCCCTGGCAGGCAACTGATTTAGATCCAACACACACTTTCCAACAGTCTTGCTTTCTCATATACACCTTGATCACTGGGGCACGTGGGCCCTACCCCCTGAGCCAGGTGAGGTCACTGTGTCTGACTCAGTCACTCTGGGAGATGGGAATAGAAACACCTTGACAGAAATCCAGGAGAACAATGAATCATCACAGATCAGCGAGAATGTGCCTGTCCATGAATGAGGTGGCCTATTCTTCTCTACCACACGCCCATGCTCTGCATGGGTTTCTGAAGGAGGGGTCTCTGGAACTCGGCTAAAGGGCTTGGATAAAAAGCCATAGAATCTCTTGCCTGCTCCCTCATGAATCAGTGTAAAACTATAAGAGACAAGATACATGGCACCATCTGAACAGCTGGATACATCTGCCTGGGACCCATTTGCTTCGTAAAGCATTTGCTGCATACAGGGATGAAGAGATATCTAAGAACATTAGATTGTCAGTTGTGATGGTTACTCTTGGTTGTCAACTTGACCACACCATCAATTAACTAAAACTCAAGGGCTGGGCATACCTCTGAGGGGTTTTTCTTGATTGAATCATTTGAAGTGGGAAGACCCATTCTAAATCCAGGTCTTTGGAGGTAGAAAGATTCACCTTAAAAATGAGCCATGCCTTCTATGGAAGCCTATCTGAGAAACATGGAATAAGGAAGCTCTTGCTCTTTGCCTTCTTGTCCTCACTCTCTCTCTGACAAGTCTATCCCTTCACTGGCATGAAAGCCTACTTCTTTGGGATTCCACCACATACTGAAGACCTGATAGGGACATCCAGACTCTTGAAATAAACAAGTACTGGATTCACCGACCCTTTGATAGTAGACAGCCATTGTTGGATTAGCTGGACCACAGCCTGTAAGCCATTCTAATATACATAAATATGTATTTATTAGATATCTAATTTATATGTATTTATATAATATAGAGGTATATAGATAGAGAGAAAAAGAGATTTATTCTATCAGTTCTGTTTCTTTAGAGCAGTGGTTCTCAAACTCCCTAATGCTGAGAACCTTTAATATGATTCCTTGTGTTATGGTAACCATAAGATTACTTTGTTGCGAATTCATAATTGTAATTTTGCACTGTTGTGATATGCTGGACATCTGATATGCGACTCCTGTAAGGGTTGTGACCTACAGGTTGAAAATAACTGCTCTAGAGACCCCTGACTAATATATAAGAGATTCTGGAGCAATAGAAGTGTAAGTGTTGGGATCTGTAAACAGGCATCTCTACGGCCATTCCCAAGGGACCTGACAAACCATATATCAGGCATCTGTGAAGCCACCTACAGACCACTTGATGCCACCTGCGCATGTTCAGGGTCCCCTTATATGAGAACTCAAAGCCCCTCCTCTCACTCTCTTTCTCTCCTGCCCTGCCCAGAGGCAGTCTCTGTGACCCCTTCCCCCTTCCCTTCCCTTTTTCCTTCCCCCTGTCCTTTACCCTTCCTTTTCCCCTTCCCTTAATAAATCTCCCAAGTGGAACCAGTTGCACACATGTAACTCTGTTGCACAATCCTAAAATAAGGATGGATTTTAAAAAAAATGTCTGGAACAGGCTTTCAATTTTTCAACACCTATAGTCACTGAAGTCTCTTGGAAACTACAGAAAGCCCATAGTGTGTGCTATTTAACAAACTCATGAAGACAAATGCATTTAATTACCCTGACTCACTTACTGTGAGAAGCAAGGACTTTAGTTATTCTATTCATAAGACTTTTGAAATTTTGTGGGAAAATAAGAAAATGATGATGTGAGTTGGTTGTTCCTAGTATCTCTAGATAAGTTGACAAAGGGAAAAATGAGCTCTGTGATAAAATTAACCAATTTCTAGCATCTCAGAACAAGGTAATGAAACAGTGAACTAAGCCATAACATTGACCGGCTCTAGATGCACACAAACCGTTGCAGAAAGCCAAATCAAAGCTCTCATTATAATGTTGGTGTTTAAAAAAAATGTGTAAACAGAAAATTTATCAAACCAAGGAAAGACAACTACATTGAATCATGACAAGTGGGAATCCTAGCCTGTGAACCAATAAACAGACTTTAGCCAGTTTTCAGACCCACAACCCCTTGAGTGAAGGGATGGCCAGGTCCCCATAAGGGAGGATCTTGATAAAATACCTAAATTTTACTGTTTGCTTTCTTCCAGTCCTTTCCCAGAGGGCCCTGAGGCAGTTCACAAGAGTTACTGCACACTGTGGGAAAAGAAATAATGAGATTTCTGGAGGTCTATCTGATACTGGCTTAGAACGGACACTGATTCTAGCAGAGCCCACCAAAAACTGTGGCCCTCCTGTTGAAGTGGGACTTATGGAGGTCAGGTAATTAACATAGTTTTTTATGAAGTCTGACTCACAGGAGGTCCTGTGAGTCCCTGAACTCATCTGGGGGTATTTCCTCAGTCCTAGAATGTATGAGTGGGATAGACAGGCTTTCAAGCTGACCTAATGCCCACATTGGCTCCCTGACCTGTGAGGTGAAGGCTATTCTGGTTGGAAAAGCCTAATGCGAGGCAGCTGCTGGGTTTGTCATCACCCGGGGAAACAGTCAATTGAAGACAATATCACATCTCAGGAGGAGCTGAATAGGTTAGTGCCACCGTCAAGGACGTGAAATATGCAGGGTGGTGGCTCCCAACACACCTCTCTTTCGCTATCTTATCTGGCCAGTGCAGCAGACAGATGGAGCCTGGAGAATGACAATTGAGTACTGAAAGCTCAGCCAGGTGGTGACTCCTATGACAGATGCCATGCCAGATGTCCTTATCTGAGCAGATTAACCAGTCCTGGTACATGGTTTGCTGCTATCGATCTAGCAAATGTCATTTTTCTTGATCTCTGTCCATGAGGAGCACCAGAAGCAATTGCTTTCAGTTGGCAAGGCCAGCAATATACCTTTCCAGATGTACCTCAAGGATATATTAACTCCCTAGCCCTGTGTCATAACTTCATTAGAAGGGATCTTGATTGTCTGTCTCTTCCTTATATATAGGTTATATATATTAACTATATAGATGCCATTATGCTACTTGAACCACGTGAGGAGAAGATAACCACTTTAGACTTCTAAGTAGCACATACATACATCAGAAGATGGGTAATAAGCCCAAAATCTGATGGTGTTCTACATTACTGAAAATTTCAAAGTACAGAGGTGTGAGGCATGCAGAGACATTCCTCCTGTGGTGGAGGATAAGCTGGCCCTCCCACCACCAAGAAAGAAGCACGGTGTTTAGTGGGCCAGTTTGGATTCTGGAGACAGCACATTCCTCACTTGCTTGTATAACTCTGGCCAATATACCAAGTAACTCAGAAAACTGTTAGTTTTGTGTGGGTCCTAGAACAGGAGAAGGCTCTAACATGTCCAGCCTGCCATGCAGGGTGCTCTACCATATGGACCATATGCTCCAGAAGACCTCGTGAAACTTGTGGTTTCAGTGGCAAATGAGAATGCTGTTTGGATCCTTTGGCAGGATGCTATATGTGAATAACAGAGGGGAGCTCTGGGATTTTAGAACAAGGCTCTTCAAGGCTCTACTGTCATCTGCAGACAACTGTTCATCCCTTGAAAGATAGCTCTTGCTCTGTTATTGGGCCTTAGTGGAAGTTGAACATTTGACAGCGGCATACCAAGTTACCATGTGATGTGAGCTTCCATCATGAAGCATTCTCTGACCCACCCAGCCATAAAGCAGGATGTGCACAGCAGCCAGCCATTCTAAA